GAGAGAGAGAGAGAGAAAGAGAGAGAGAGGGGGAGAGAGGGGGGGTGTTCACGCAGGAAGGATAAGTTTATTGGAAGAGTAATTAAAGGGAGTATTATTATTTGAGTCTCGGCCCGAGCCCTCGCTGAAAGCCTTGTCCGCAATTCACGGGGTGACATGGCAGGGGAAGTAACCGTATATTTAGAACACATTCTAATTATTTTACAAATGAAACACATAGGTATGCAATGTAATAAACAATTACACACGTTCTCGGAAACTTTTTGTGCAAGACTGAAACTAATCCACGACAGCCATGTTGCTGTTTCAGAACTCCAATGTGCGTTGCGAATTTAAAAATATCCAGGTTTAATTGTCTGTGTCAATTAAAGTAGAATGTAAAGGCGACAAGGAAGCATGAAGTGATAGTAGGCTAATGAGAAGAGGTCGGAAGAGAGCCGTACGGAATGCATTAAAATGGGGTCCTTTTACGTTTGTTGAAAAGCAAAAGATAAAGTAAATTCAAGGACTTTATAATTTTGTAACCTCCTTGAGTAAATTCAAATACGGTACGTAGACCTACAGCTTTGCAAGGGATACAAAACAGACAATACAATAGCAAAACTTTATTGGTGGGGGCGACCGAGGGGGGAAATGAACGAAAATACTGATGGAGGCACGGCAACCATGCAATACAAAACTCAATGTATGTAGTCTAGAGAAACGTTATCAAATTTTGGGGAGGGGGGGTGTTTGTTTGTTGGGGGGTAGTTGTTTTTGTTTGTTGTTACTGTTGTTTTGTTTTGTTTTTGTTAGTTTGTTGGGGCTTTTAAAAAAATCAAAACGGGTTTAGCCCCTTTTACCTTAAGTAGTCTGGAAACAAACCAAACCAAGGAATCATGAATTCTAATGGACATACAGATACACTACAGCATGATAACTCAGACACACCGTATAGGCCTAGGCTAACACACCATCACGTTACAATTCGTAATTACTTATCACCGTTATTCGATTATGCGAAACATTTCTTGTCCGGCCCGACAAGCCCCCTTCTTTTGTCCTGCGCAGAACGTACTTTCGTTTTCCTAAGAAAGAAAGGACGTGGTTCAGCCCGGTGTTGTCGTCGTCGGTGTAAAACCCCACCCGAGGCCAACGTTTCAACGTACTACACCGAGGATTTAGCTGATCAAATTTAACACTTTGGGCTTTCAAAGTGTAACAGTTTTATCTGTTAACGTATTTTCAAAGAACTGTGAACACGTAGAATCTACTTGTATTTTTTTTTTCATTCTGCATCAGAATGGCTGCTTCTGTTCGCCCTCAATACCGACGTATTTTAGGACAAGTTGCTGTTGGCAGATGCAATGGTCAAGTCAGTTCCAGTAGATCTGGTGTAGTGAAAAATGTATCACTTCGTACTCATTTTTCCAGTTCTAGATCTAATTTTGCGGACTGGAGATGTAGATCTAGATCTAGTGGTTTTTTATCGTGGAACAGGTGGAGACTTGAAAAAGGCAGGTATAATGAAGGTCATAATCAACAAAGTACTGTTATTGACAGACGTGGGACAGTAGGTTTGTGTCCCTCTATCAGACTGTTTTCAAGTTCCCACAATGGAGATTCAAACAGTGGAGATAATGGTGACTATCCTCAAGATATTCGTGTGTTACCCCGTCGCCTTGTCAAACGCTTGAAGAAGCAAGGAATTTCAGAAGCAGAGTTTTTAACGAAAATAAATGCAAATAGCAAAAGCTCGGACATGTTTCCCCCTCCTTCAGAAACGGATTTTCGATCAGCTGCACCTGTTGTGGACTCAAAGGAGGAACTTGAATCACTTTTGAAGTTGACATCAGTTGTTCCCAAGTTTGTTTCAGAAGCCGACAGTTTTCCTTCTGATACAGCAAAGTATCAAGACTGGAAGAAACAAAATTCTGAAAGAACAAGCAAATCTGTACCAAAAGTGTCTCCTTCAACTACATCCATTGTTCTTTTTCCTGGGCAAGGAAGCCAGTTTATCGGCATGAGCAAACAGTTGCTACATTTTCCTGGTGTCCATGATCTATTTGAGGAGGCTAGCTCTTTACTAGGATATGATTTGTTGGAGATTTGTTTAGCAGGTCCCAAATCTGAGCTTGACAAAACCATCTATTGCCAGCCTGCTGTTATGATCACCTCACTGGCAGCTATTGAGAAGCTTAGAGAAGAACATCCAAAGGTTTGTAATTGTTCCATTTAATAAAAGAATTGATTAAATTTCAATTTGATTTTTACCCTTTGTTTTGTTTCCTGTTTCAGTGTCCCACCTCTATTAATGTCTCCATTACAAGATTACTGATGAAGACGTAGCAAAAAGAAAAGAAGTTGTGTAAAAATATGTTGTTGTTTTTTCACGATGCGAAAATTGAGTGCCAAAGCCTACCTTTTTTATTTTGTATCTTTAGGCCTACTGTACTACTATATATGATATTTTAGGTCATTTGATCGTTTTAGGGTAATGCACACATGTATACACTGAAGAAAAATACCCTTGTCTGCGATTTGGCATGTTAACTTGGACTTCAAACGTGTGGGTAAAAATGGGTGGGTTTTTTTTTGCTTTTTTGGGGGGGGGGGGGTTTTTGCTTTAGTGTGTTTTACAGCGCTTGCAACTACATCATTTATAAGGTTATAATATGAGCGCACGGGACACATTTAATTTTAAATTGGAAGAAGAATTGATTTAAGATCAGGGGTGTGGCTGAAAGACAGCGATAAGAAGAAGCCAAGGAATAGCAATGCAATAGAAAGGCTGCAGAAAGAGTCAGGAGCCCAGAGAAGAGGGATGGGGGCAGAAAGTGGAGACGAAAGCAGGCGACAGAACATGGTTAGGGTAGAGAGGAAAGAAGAAAATTTTCCTTCGATGTCAGGTTTCAAACTCAGAACTCTATTGAATGAGAGGGGAACACTAACCTCTAGACCATGAGACCCCCCACAACAATGAGTGTTTTATAAAGGGAAAATCCGCTATTATCCCTTTTGTCTAACAGTAAAAGGCACTCTGCTTTTGGGGAGGGTTTTTTTTTCCCCAGTTTCTTTGGACTTGCTTTTTCACCATGGTATAGCATGTAATCAGGGTAAAATGATTGATAAAATACCTGTAAGATTTATCGTAAATTGTTTTCTTTTCTTTGAACAGGTTTTGAAGGCGCATCTACTTCATCCTAGTTACTAAGTCTTTTACTTTTTCCTCTTTGATTTTATTATGTCATGTTACAGTCCACTCCACTTGTAGCGAAGTGGGTTGAAATATCTTCGGGGGGGGGGGCTCTCTGGGTGGCGACCGAAAAATTTTCTTCTCTAAATTTGTCTCCTTTCACCTCATTTCCTGCCCTCTAGCAATGTTCTGTCATCTGCTTTCGTCTCCTCTTTCTGCCCCCACCCCCTCACCTCCTTTGCCCCTTCCTCTGGGCTTCTGATTCTTTCTGCAGCCTTTCTACTGCTACTCCTTCGCTTCTTCTTGCTGATGTCTTTCAGCCACACCCCTGATCTTCTGGTAGGAAAGATCTACTGTACACCTAGCCTTCTCGGACAAGGGCGAAAAATCTCGGAGGGCCCGTGTGTAAGTTGCGCACGTTAAAGATTCCTTGGTGGTCAAAAATCGATAAGAGTAGGCTTCCGCCGCCACCCGAGCAAAATTCAAAATTTCCTACCAACTGAAAATATTAGGTGTGTCCCACGCGCTCATATGACCTTATAATGCAGTTGCGAGCGCCGTAATACACTTTACAAAAACAAAGAACAAAAAGATCTTCAGACGTAGCAATCTTTTTCCGTAGAACAGGCACTGATGTAACACAAATTTTTTAAAATTGAAACAGTTGATCCGAATTCACTACATCCGTCATGGCGGCTGTAGTGATGCGTATTCTTATCCTTGGCCTATCTAGTTTATATAGTAAAAATATAACGGTTTTAGAGATGTTTCCCCAGTGGTTAGTTTTGACCTAGCGTTGATGAAGCCAATGGTATTTTGTAACGTTACGCACATTCACACAATAGTTCGAGGCATCAGACACTTAGCTAGCAATCTCCCACATAATACTATTGATAACCTTATGTGAAGCACCGAAGCTCTTATTAACTCTACAGTGAAGTTCAGTACTTAAATTATTTCCCTTGAATTTTTCTTCAAACGGCTTTGTTATGAACTTCAGATGTAGCGATCTTTTTACTGGTCCCCCAACGACATCACTGTATTTCTTTATTTCAGGCTGTGGAGAACTGTGTTGCTACGGCTGGATTCAGTGTTGGCGAATTTTCAGCACTTGTGTTTTCCGGTGTCATATCATTCCCAGACGGTACTATTCTATATTCCCACTTTTGAGATTGAAGTAACCTACTTAAAAACTTTTGAATCCTTCCTCATTTTTATTTTTTTAAATTATTGTAATTTACAAACCAGCATTTTGGACATTAACTTGGATTCAATGTATATGATTTTATAAAATAGTTTTTGAAATTTCTTTTTTATGAATACATTCTCTATAAAATTAACGTTATTAGTTAAATCAAAATTGTTGGTCATTGTTTTTGCTTCTTGTGTACAGGCATTCAACATTACCTTAGAGATGGCACTGTATTTTAACCCCAAAAAATTTTCTGTTCTGTCTCTGATAGCTTTATAGAAAAGATTATTTTAAACTTGTAGTTGTCAAAAGTTCAACAAATTGTTCTTATTTATTGATACAACAGTTATATTCAAGTTAGAATGGCAGGATAGAATAAGAACAGAAATGGAGAGCTTTGGGAAAGGACAGGACAATAGGACAGAAGTAGAAATAGGACTAAGAAAGTGGCTATGGATGGTACAAACCTTCAGAAAACCCAGCGGAAACATCACAAGACAGTCGCTGCAGTGGAACCCACAGGGAGCCCGAGGCAGGGGTAGGCCACAGGAAACATGGAGGAGATGTATGGAAAGGGACATGAGAGAGATGAACCTCACTTGGAACGAGCTTGGAAGAATGGCCCAGGACAGAGATAAATGGAAGGAGCTTGTGTGGCCTATACCGTACGGAGAGTGGAAGTGATGATTATGATGATGGTATTCAAAAGTGGGAAAACTACACTGGGAACTATCTAGTGGATTTAGCGCTCCCAAGTGTCACTATCAAATAGCCAGTGGTGTTGGGGGGAAACTGTTTTTTTTTAAACCGTGTTATAAAACTCATTTGTGTAGGAGTTAAATGTTTGGCGAATATTCAATTTAAAAATGGGATCTATAGTCAAACTAAAATAGCAACTCAAATTACAGTCGATTAAATCAGACGTAACGCCACAGATTGAAATATACGGCAAATTTAATCAGCTATGAACACTAGGTGGGTTTTAGATGAGCTTTTGGCTCTTTTATTTTCCATATTTTTGTACCATATTATCTCATTTGTCTAATGGGTAAATATGTAATTTGTCTGCAAATTGGGGGCCAAATCTGTACATTTGTAGCTTGCCTATATGAACAAAGTGTATATTATATATATATAATGCTTTTTTTTCTTAAATAATCCTTTATCAAATTGTCAAGCTAAGAAGATGAAATACTTCTGCTGTGCATAATTTTCAAAACAGTGCACTACATAGAGAACGAAATGATAAGCAGAAAATTGACAAGACCATGTTTTTTTTAAATACTTTTTTTTTCAGGGGAGGGCCATTAGAAAATTATGTTGACATCATGAAAGTGTTCCCTGATCCTTCTGAGTGATTTTTTTTTGTTACTAACTTGTATTTTCATTTTCCCCAGCTGTAAAACTTGTGAAAGTGAGAGCAGAGGCCATGCAGAGAGCTTCTGAAACTGTTAGCAGTGGAATGCTCACTGTATTTCTGGCTCATGACTCCGACTTAAAAGGAGCTATGAGAATGGCAAAAGAGTACTGTCAAACTCGCAGAGGCATCAACGAACCTGTGTGTAATGTGGCCAACTTCCTGTTCCCTGAATGTAAAGTTATTGCTGGTCATGCTGAGGTAAGCTGATATTTTGCTTCAGTTTATAATTCATGTTGTAAGAGTCCACGATTCTAGCTCCTTGAAATAGAATGGTTGTCATCCTGTTGCTCCAACTACAGTTTTTTAAATTTATTTATTGAACATTCAAATCCTGTTATACCACCAACCTAAGGGCCGAGCAGGAAGTTGATGGTATAGCAGTATAGCAGGGCTAACAGTTGAGTTTGAATGCTGCCCCGTGTCAAGGGAAATGATTCTGCCGTGACTAGATGATGAATAATAATATAATGAGCTATTTCCCTTAGACCAAAACTGGGGTGGCCTGTAGGCTTTCTTTCAGCATAATGCTGTCCCCATGGTTTTATGTAAGAAACATTCTGAAATTATGCAAACAGCCCAAAAATGTGAAATTATGCGATTCTGTTATTTTTAACAAAGAATGTTAGAGGAAAATAATAAGAAATTATGCATAAAATGATCAAATTTTGCTAAATTATGTGGGGTGCATAAAACCACGGGGACAGGTAATGAATTCTTTGTTAGTTTGCAGTATGTGTAGTGGGAGAACAGGGAAATTATCACTGGGGGCTGTGTGTAGTGTTTACCTCTGGTGGCTAGTTCATTGGTGGTGTTGCAGGACAAATACATGTACCATGTACACAAGTTAAGTAAGGCGAGGACAAATCAAGCCATGCAGTTTGGTCAAAGTGGTAGTTTAAAGGGGCAAATAGTGTGTTTATATAGATGTTCCTTTTTGTGCATTAGCAAAACCTGGTTGTTAGCAGGGCTGGCAGTAAGTGGGGGTAGTACAACAAGGTTTGACTGTAACTAGTTGTCTTTTTCCTTTGTCGTTGCACACAATCCTTTGTAACACCGGCGGTCCTCAGGGGTGTGCTTGTCACCAGTTTTGTAAACAATATATACCAACGGTCATAGAAGTAAATATAAAACAACACGCTAAATTAAGCTGGCAGATGACTCCGCTATTGTTGGATTAATAAACCTTGATGAAAAAGAGTATTTCGAAGAAATATGTATGTTTATTAAATGGTGCAATTCACATTTTCTAAAAGTGAACCTCTTAAAAACATAAGAAATTTTTTTTTTATTGTAGAAGAGAAAAACCAAAAATCCCTCCCACCACTCGTAATTGAACAAGAAACAATTGAAATCACGGATTCATACAAATATCTCGGTCTTACAATCGACAACAAATTTACATGGCAAAATCACGTAAATATTATAGTTAAAATGGTAAATCAGAGGCTGTACTTACTGAGGAAACTTAAGTCTTTCAATCTGAATCCATCCATCCTTAAGATATTCTACACCACTACAATAGAAACTGATAAATTTTGGTATCTCTTGCTATGGTAGCAATTTGGGAAGACAGCGCATCATAAAAATAAACAAGTTGATCAGAAAGGCATGAAGAACAATTGATAGAGACCTTATTAACTTTGGATATCTGCATAAAACAAATGTTCTAAAAAAGGCGGAAATAATGCTAAGTGACCAAAGCCACCCACTGACATCGGAATTTCAATTATCGACCCGCAGTAAATGAAACATTTCCAAAAAAGCAAAAACAGTCAGATGTAGAAATTCATTCGTACCAAGCTCAGTGAGGTTACTGATCACACAGTGCTACAAATGAAACATAGAGAGAGAGAGAGAATGTTTTACGGAGCGGGTTGCAGCATGTGAGACATGTATTTACTAATGTCTTGTCTTGCTGTGCTTATGCGTGAGTGCACCTAACCTTTGTAATATCTGCTGCCTTTGTAAACGACCAAAACAAATTTCTCCCTTCAAGATGAATAAAGATTGTCAGATTGTCATTGTGGAAGTAGACGTGAGTTTGTTTCTTGAGTGGGGGGATTTTTATTGGTTTTCTCTGTCTGTCTGCTTTAATCAGGCTTGCCAACCTACCCAAATTTTTCGGGATTTTCACGAATTGCCATTGTGGTTCCCGAACCTTTCCCGAAGCGGTGTGGGTGGGTTTTTTTTGGTGACTTTAGTAGCCTATCACAGAAGTGTGTGTGTGTGGCACTCTGGTGCAATCAAAATTCCAGAATTCAGTATCTCACAAGTTGGCAAACCTGCTTTAATGCTGTACCTGCGTCCCTGGCATGCAGGGTCAAAACATCCCTCAGCCTAAGTGTTCTAAATAATTGGTGTCGATGGGTGTGTAAAATTCTTATTATATGAAAACAATAATTATTTTTTCCTCTACATGGAGTGTTCTGTGCTAGAGATTAGGGGTGCTTGACTGTGGGTCCTTTAATTTGGGATGCAGCTGGCTAATGCTGTGACATCTAGCCAGTACATAAGGCCCCTTGCTTTTACTTTTAGATTGACACATGGAATTTTGGATGGTACATTTTTCTATTTATATGAACCAGGTTTCAGTAGTGATTAGAATAGAATTTTGACCCTTCAGATGCCATGGTGTCTGTCATCTAAAGTGTCTGAAGACATAGAAAATTAAATTGAAGGTGGATGCAAAATTTCATGTAAAAACATGTGTTTTTGTTTTTCATTTATCTAAGGCAGGTCACATTTTGTTTTAATTTGTTTTGAATCATGTCATTGTCAAAAAATTTGAGAAAACATGTTTGCTTTTGGGTATGCTCAGCATTAGTTTGAAATACAAACTTTCAGATGGTATTTCTTCGGAACTGTAGACATGTACCATTCATTCATGAATTTGGGAAGAGTGTATAGGTGTCTGTGGATTGATTGAGCTGATAATTTGATATTTTGTTTCGTCTCTTTTCTCTCTTTACCAGGCTTTAGAATTTATTTCTACAAATGCTAAAGAGTTTCGCATATTGAGAACAAAACGGCTCCCTGTCAGTGGAGCCTTTCACACGCAGCTGATGGCATCAGCCCGAAGACCGTTAGAGCAAGCTCTACAGGGGATGAAAATAGGAAAACCTAAAGTAAGTTCAATTCACCTTATATATAAAATATATATAAAATTATCTGCTTACTGTTTTTCTGGTTGTTGAGTATTATAAAATTGTTCTAAAGTATTTTTTTTAAAAGTAAATGGGTGTCTGCTTGCACTACTGTCCTTCCAATGTGACCATAACTGAAAAGCAGAATTACGTGAGGCAAAAAGCACCAGACTGTAGTCTTTAGATTTGTTCTGACTTCAAAGAGCAGTAATGTTGAGAAAAAAAAAATCGCAAATGTTATGGTTTCATCCTACAAAATAGGCAGTCAGAGCTCCAGTTTCTCCCTGAATGGATTTTGATACTGCTTCAGTCTTCATGTTTATTCTTTGACCGTCAAACCTCTTAGTCCTACTGCAGCTGCAAGAGAACTTTTCGTTTTCACAATCAGAGTTTAAACACTGCTCTCTTTGGCCTGATGTTCACTGTAAAACAGAGCCATGAAAGGGAAAAAGCTTTCTAAAGCACTTTTTGTAAAGCTGTAAAATGTGCACTCAAATTTGAGAAGAGTACATTGAGGCCCAGTTTTCTCTCAGACAGTGTATTCTTGCTTAGTTTACACCAAGATGTACTAATATCATCTTGTTCTTGATAATGATAGTCATAACATTTCTTACTGTAATAAAAAGAACATGGATGCAGTAAAAAAACAAAAAATACAGCAGGACTTGAATCTCTCTCTCTCTCTCTCTCTCTCTCTCTCTCTCTCTCTCTCTCTCTCTCTCTCTCTCTCTCTCTCTATATATATATATATATATATATATATATATATATATATATATATATATATATATATATATACATTTGAAATATAGTGTCCTGAAAGAAATTTGAATAATATTTTGTAGTTATCTTCCCTTATGGCGACATTAAAATGACTTTATTTGCTTGCCTTTCAGCTTCCGATTTACAGCAATGTGACTGGCCAGCCATATCATGCAAAGACAAATTTTGCCCACATGCTGGGAGAACAACTTGTGAAGCCCGTCCGGTGGGAACAGACGATGCATGCCCTGTACCAGAGACCTCAGGGCTCTGAGTTCCCTCACACGTATGAAGTGGGTCCGGGGAAACAGATGGGAACTCTGCTCAAGCAAGTCAATCTACAAGCTCACAAGCAGTACCATGATGTGAGGGTTTGACAGTATTGGTATTTCTATCCTTATGTTCTCTTGTCTTTTCCACTTTTAGCGTAGAATTTGAGATTGTGATTAGTTTTGGAAAGGAATGTCAGTTTTTAATCTGTTTTAGGTATGAGTGGAAAAGTTCTTTATATATTTTTATGACCAGGTCTGTGTATTAAGTTGTTGAACGTTTTTTTAAATAAAGTATTTATTTCCCTGTTTCCACCAGCTCTACTTTATCAAATTAATGCTGAGATTACTGAGAAATGGAACCTGTGTTTTCAAGAAAAATGTTTTGTTTATGAAAGAATGAGATATTGTTTTATTTCTTGAATACTTATTCAAATTCATGTTGTAAATGAAACTTACATTTTGTCAGATGGGTTCTTGTTTGTGAGAGTTACACTAGACACTTTGATGAAAGAGTTACAAATGAGATTAGTCACTTTGCTTTATACTACTTGAAATTAAAGGAGCTCAGTGAGGACTCAGGACCACTGTCAGTAACATCATTTTAAAAATTTTAAGTTAAAAGCTGTTATTTTGCTGTGTTCGATATATTCCGTGGCTTCGTGTAAGATCCCAACAAACGTCAAATTGCAAAAAAGAGTTTGTCAGAGTCTTGCATACAGCCATCGATACAAGAAATGTGTTGTCTCTATTACCTCTTTATATCAAAAGTGCAAACTGTTGGATAGGTTGTGTTTACTTCAGGTATGTGTTTCATCACATTATATCCCCGAAGAGTGAGACGGCCCCTGATATCATATAGATCGCTTGTCGTGGTATATATGTGATTTATATTAAAATCAAAAGTGTGCAATCATTCAGGACTATTTTGTGGGGTGCAGAATTAAATAACATGCCACTGAAGCTATGATGACTCAGAATGGATACTCTCTCATTAGGGTACCCTCTGCTGACCGCCCTATTGATAATGATTTCATTGCTGCTATGTGAAACAGATACTAAATTTTTCAAGAACGGTATGTGTAGCGGCAAATCAGTATGAGAGAGTAGCGAACAACCACTGTGTGCTGCTTCATAACAGGAAAACTTTAGCTTACTGTATTGAAAACATGTTGGCGTTTTGTGTGGTAAATCTCTCCTCTTTTGTGACTATTGTGTTAATTTGTTGATGGACATGTACCTAATATTTTAAATAACCTTGATGGGTTTGCTATGAATTTTGCCCGATTTATTTTCGAAAGTGTTTGTCTTTGCCATTTTGGACATTTTGTTTTATAATTTTTATTGTTCACTCTGTCCTCACAAATCTGTTGCCTTGAAGCATCTGAGGTACTGATAAGATCTAGTGTTTCTATTTTATTTCTGTTGTTCTGTGGTCAAGTTTTTGTCATAAAATTTGACTGCCTTGGTAGTGTGTTCACTGTTGGGGGAGGGGGGGGGCTTTTTTTTTTTTTCTTTTTACAAATTAGTGCTTTAAAAAATGTATCTCTTAGTAACTCTTAGTATTCCTGTTTATTATGCTTTACTTGTTGATACTGCACTGGGTTTTTCTGATCTTGTGATTACTCCATTGCCTCAAGTGTGAAAGTATTTATTCATCATACATGTTTCTATTTGGTTTGCAGCAAAGTATCCATGTTGTTCCTTTTAAGTATTTCATGGTTAAAATGTTATCATTTCTGCTGTGTTACTGTCAGCCAATGGGATGCAGGTAAAGTAAAGTACCTGGTGCAAGATCATCTTAATACCTTTCATTGCTTTTTCTGAGGGCCATCATTCACTGCTGCAGTGCATGGCTATAAACTGTATAACTGAAGCTATTAAAAAATGTATATTATTAAGCAGACGTGTTCTCTCTCTAATTCTGATTTAAAAGTCTTAGGATTGGAAAACAAAATGTTTGAATCAAATTTCCATTTCAATTTTTTGTGAGTTGAATACACAACAGGCATGTGGTGCATAGCAGCCTGGTTGTAGTTGTTGAGAAATAGCAGGCTGAGGTAGAAAAGTTGCAAGACCAATCAGATTTGTCTGTAATGATAATAATAATAGTAATAAAAGTTTGTTGTTCAATTATATCTGACAAAGACTGGTGTGTCTGTGGAAGAGAATCTTTTTTAAGTGAAATAAAAGAAGTGCTTTTCGCTTTACACAAATTCTTTCTGTACATGTATCGCTTCAGCATTCTCAAATCTATTTCCTTAAGTTAAGGAAAGGATGTCCATCTTTTAAGAGAAACCCTCTTTAAAATATTAAATGCAGATCTGATTGTGTGGACTCTTGTCTCCTATGCATTGATTTAAGTTTCAGAATTTGGAGTCTTAATGGGCTACTGTGGATTTTGCTTTAGATGATGTTACCCCTGTCCGTACGTCATGTTTTACTTTCGTATTCGTACAACATGGGGAACTCTGTGCCACCACTTTCCAAAGAGGAAATTTACTAGTTAATCAAATCTGATCCGTACGCTATGCATAGCAGTCTGTCAAAATGATTTTTTGAGAAATACTGAAAATTTCAAAGAGATCTTCATACTAGAAGTATTCTAAAATGTGAAGAATACTACCCCAGGGGTACAAAATGACCCCATGGCATATGGATAGAGTTTAGGGCAGCTGGAAGGAATATTTTATCCAAAAAAGAGTAAGACTGTCCTGTTTCTGACCTTTTTTCCAGTATGGACAATGAATATTATATGAGAAGGGCATTACATTTATTGGAAAATAATTGAATCAGAGTTCTTTATAGCAAAGTCCACTGTGTGTCAAAACATTACATGCACTTCCAACAAAAACCCTGTAGTTACCCAAATGAAAGAGTACTTGTTTTTATGAGAGAAAAAACTACAACAAAGCAGTACTTCGAAACTGTAGGCCTACATGGTAATTGTGAGGCGTGCTGACAAAATGAGTTACTTCTCACAATCCACAAAAGGAGATATTGGCCAAAAATCAACTTAAGACTCAAATTTATAGATTTTCTATTGATGCCATATTCTTTAACTATAACCTGTCTTTTATTATTTCATACTTATTTATTGTAAAAACGTCAGCTATAAACGTGGTGTGTCTATTTTGTTAAGGCTTGAATCCAAGAAGTAACTCATTTTGTCAGCACACTTCACAATTGTACTTTTACTTTTATGTTTGTGTGTATCTGTGTCTTTTTTTGTGCTAATTATTCTTTATATTTATATTCTTAGCATCTTTTTAATTTTAGGGATGTTGTGATATGTCGGTTCTCCATTTCTCTGTCCCCGTAGAATTATGCAAATTTAGAGGGCCAAATTATGCACAGAAAAAGCAAAATTATGCAAAAATTATGCAAGTTAGCGTAACACCATTCACGACATGTTTTGCACTTTTTCAACACAAAGTTTCATGATTTTCATGTTTTAAGTACCGTAAAATTGAAAACAGAACATATCAGTATCAGTAATTTGTTGTGTATTTGGAAAAGAAAACAATACACATCAGTAAAAAAGAAAAAAAAAACAACCAAAAATAATAATCTCTGTAACTTTCAGCTGTAGATCTATAGAAGAAAGGAAAATGTTCTAAAAAATAAATGAAAAAGGACCTCTAGACCTCTGATGCTGGCACATTACCAAAACCTGAAACATCAGCAGACATGAGAACAACAACTTTTGATGGATTGAAAAATTGAACATGCTCAAGGAACAAAATCACAACCCATAACCAACTTTTCACTTAAATGAGACTTATTACGGTGATTACTTCCCTTTAGTCAAATGGCGAGGCGTTAGTTAATTGTTTAGTGAAAAAAAAGGGGAAAAAGCGCGGATAATCCAAAATTATGCAAATGTTGCAGAATTACGAAAAAAAAAAACGCAGCCGCACAATCACATAATCCTACGGGGACAGATTTCTCATAGAAGCATTGAAAACATGTATGGAGCTCCTTCAGGGTGAGTATGATACTATAAGATATAGAGCAAAACTGTTGTTACAACAAGCAATTGAATAAAGGTAAAAATGGAAACGCTTTTAATAGTTTCGTTTCACTTGTGCTGTTAAAAAATTGTATCGCCTTTGTATATGTGTTCTTCTACTTGATCTGAACAATGGAAGCTCATGTGCCTATTGCAGTGAAGCTTCTTAATGTGTATATCTGGGGGTTGGTCTAAAGTCTAAAACTTTCACCTTTCAGATGACCTCGGGAGGTCTTTGAAGGAATTAGCTGCGTGTTTTCATTGTGACCTGTTTACTTGTACAGTATTTAATTTTTTGTTTGGGTTGGGATTTTTTCCTTAGCAGAAATAGTCTTATCTTGGATTTTCACTTTCCACTTCCAGTGTCTTTCTTTAAAGGAGCTCAAACTGACGCCCAGGATCTTCAACATTTTTTCCTCCGGATCTAAAAAAAATAGCTGTTTGAACTTGATTCTAGTTTTTCTAAGATATTTTTTTTAAGTTGTCAATATTTGTTCAAGGACTAGAATTGAACCAAGTACTTTTGATATATACAGTGGAAACCATATATAACAGGCCCGGTAATAACAGGGATCCGGCCGGTAGTAACAGGGATTTTTTAAATCCCCCGTTTTTTCCTACTCTTTGTTTCAATTTAAAGTTATCGGCAATAACAGGGCCTCGTCAGAGCCCAACCGGATATAGCAGGGACAAAGACTCGTTAACAATGAGGAGAGAGAGAGAGAGAGTAACGCAGTGATGGAGCAAGCCCACGCAAGCCATGCCGCTGCAAGCACACACAGCATGTGAAGCGAGAGAGGGCTGCGGTGTGCTGCAGACCTCGATCTAGCCAGAAACCTAGCAACACGCACGCGTAATGTGTCACCAACGATGTCAAGCGCAAGAGAAAATGCCTTTCAGTTGGCAAAAAATACGGAATAATCCAGGCTGTTGACAAAAAGCAGGCTCCACTGGCAGAGATTTGTCGTCAGTCCACAAGGGTCGATTCACACCATTATCAAGGATAGAGAGAAAAAAGTGGCAGCATACTCCAATGGAAAGTTTGCTCTGGATCGAAAGAAGATGAGACTACCCGATGCAAATACTATGGACCAAGCTCTTCTGATGTGGTTTAAGTTTAAGGAGGCAAGGAAAAAGTTGGTGCCAAAACCTCTGTTCGTGGGTACTTGTGGCAAGGGAAACTACCCATGAATAAGTACAGCTGGATTAGTCCACAAATGCTTACTTTCCTTGCATTTCTGATTTAACAGGGATCGGATATAACAGGACATTTTCTCTACTCCCACCATCCCTGTTATATCAGGTTTCCACTGTACATATATATGAAACAAGCTCGGAACTTCCTAACAATATGTGCTCCGCTCTTGTAGTGAAATGGTTTGACTTCAGTGCAATGTTCTTACATCGTAGGCCCTACTTTGTTTGAAATATAGGTAAAGTTGTTCCCCCTTCCGATCCGGACATTGGGGATTGCCTTGTTTGTGAGACAACTTCCTGGGCCTTCGGCATACAGTGTATTGTGGTAGGGTGGCCAGATCCTTTCCACGCCGTCTTTACTTCCCCAACTCGAAGTCAGGTCCCCATTACTGCCGGGTGGGCAGGAGGGGGCGAACCCGGACTTTCCACTTCAGAGACGAGCGCACTGACCGCATCCCCGTTTGAAATATACAGCACATGTATCAAATAAACTGCTGCTGTCTTGTAAAAATCTGAATACAAAAGAATTAAATTTGTAGTTGGCACTGACTTTTGAAATGTGGATGAGGGTACCGAAGTTGAACTAGTTGAAGGGTGGCTCTAGTTAGTCCAATCTCTTAAATTCTTTTCCTTTTTTTTCCATTGCTTCCAACTGTCTTGCGGTGCTGTGTGTGTGTGTAGTGGCGCAAGCCTAGTGGTTAGGCTACTAGACCCATGTTCATGAGATTACGAGTTCGGGGGTTCGAGTCTCAGTTCGGTCCAACATTGAGTCCTTGGAAAAGGGTGAAAAGACATTTTACATAAATTTCCCTAAAGGATTGGTTCTTTTGGAGATGGATGTTCTCGGAGGTCCCACCTCTTAAATAACCTAACAGTGTTCATAGGGGCGTTAAACCTTTTGTTTCACCATTTTTATCTCGCTGTTTCCCCGCATTAAATTGCAGTTATTATGTTGGTGGGCTTCTCTTTGCTCAACCCCAATCAAGGTGGGAACATATCTACTCTTTTTAAAAAATGTAGGTGGTCTTACACTCTCAACACAATTCGAATCATTTAGGATGAAGGCTTCATTCCTGCCTGTCTGGGCCAGCATAGGCTAAGACTAAGAGGGATATATGTATAACTTTCCAGTACCTGTGCTCGGGTTTATCGGAGCAAGGTAAAGCGCGAACTTGGATACAGCGGGAGGGATTGAACGGGCTCTAGCTGAGGGGAAGGGTGTTGGGGGGGGGGGGGTGTAGGTGGGCTACAAACAGGCA